GATTAGATAGAGGTTGTTTTGATTTGTAGCCTAGTTGATTTGACCTTGTAAGTCCTTAGTGGTGTTTGAACGCCTAATGCCCTCAAGCCGTCTGGTTTGGGAGTCATTGACCTAACGCTCGACCTCATGGATCACTAGAAAACTTAATAGATCAACACATTGCACTATGCTTCCATCTTTGATCCTTAGGGATAGAAAAAAAAAAAAAAAATCGAGTGAAAAGAATAAGCGCACCTAGATCAATAAAGTTTTAATAAAAGGTCCACTTTTTGTCTTGATGATCGGTACTAGATTTGTGTGATAGTTTGAGGGTAAGGATGTGATCATTTCTTTAGTTGGTTAAGATAGCAACATACTTGATGCCGGTCCACGCAAAAAGGATTCTAGAGTTTTTTTTATTTTCATGATCATTTTCTTGATGTGTGGAGACTATACTTGCTTGCTTGAGATTGGAATTTTGGGAGATTGCTTGGAAATGGTTGAAAAATTGCATACTTGAGGTAGTTTTCTCCCAATGCTTGTTTGCAATATTGGTGCCTCTTTTGAAAGAATGAGCTTAATGTTTGTGCGTATCATTTCTAGAAACCCTCACGAGACTTCACTCGTCCACTAGGAGTAAACTAGGGGTTCAAAAGGCTTGTTGCATATGCTAAATGTAATCGTGTTCCCTACGAAAGTGGCGTTATCCATTTATTGCTTTCTAGTTCGTAGTTGTATAGTTGTTCATTTAATTCCTTTACTTTCTAGTTCATTGCTAGGGACTAGCAATATTTAAGTTTAGGGGTGTGATGAGTGCTGAAAAGTGCGCATTTAAACCCCTTAAGCTTAGGTATTCTAGGACCTTTATCTATCTTATTTTCTCGCTTTAGATTAATTTTGTATTATTTCCATTTTCAGGTACTTATCCCCAAAATAAGCTAACTCAGCTACATAAGAGCATAATTGAAGCAATCTTGAGATGAATCAAAGAAATGAGCAAAGTGGGAACAAAAGGAAGCAAGTGGTGAAAATTTAGCAAGTTCAATCGATCTCAGAAAATATTCGATCGATCGAAAGTTCATCAATCTCAGCATTCCAAGATGGATCCAAGCTCTCTTGTCCTTATTCAAAGATCCACAAATTTCGATCGATCCAACTTTATTCTGATCGATCAAAAAGATTCCATCTTATCCACTTGTACCACCCTACCTACCACATTTGTCTCTTTCCCAAAAATATCTTCAAAATATCTCAGATTTGTTTTTATCCAAAAAGGCGCCGCCATAGAGGATCGATCCAGTTTAAATTCGATAGATCTCAGCCATGTTCGATTGATTTCACTACAAATTCGATCGATCGAACTTCCCAAATCCTGAGAAAATCCAATTTCTAGTTCATTAAAAGTTGTCTCATATCTAATCATTGGAAGGAATATTGGTGTACGAGCCCAACACATTTGGGTTGATATTTAACCTACCTATATAAGGAATATGAGCCACTTTTTGAGAGCATATACTGGAGAGTAGATAGAGACACAATTTCTATATTCTTAGTGAGGAAGAAAAGAAAGGAGGAGGTTAGAGACACAAGCTTGGAGTTCTTCCATCAACCAAGAAGAGGAGCAATCTTTATCATGGAGTTAGCCCTTGAGGGTTGGAGGACACCATCCATGAGTGGCTAGACGTCCTTTTGGGGTTAGAGTTAGCCCTAAGCATGCTTTTTATATCTTGATTTATGTATTTTGAGGGGACTTGTATTGTGATACATGTTTTGACACTTTTATATATATAGATCTTGTTTATTCAGTGATTTATGTGGTTTAATGCTTCTAATTGATCATTTCATTCTATCCATATGTCTATGTATGCTAGAATAGTTCATGTGTTTATCTCTATTTCTTGTGTTATTGATGCATATCTATGTGTATTAATGCTATAGATCTAGAGATTGTCAAGACATAGTGCTTAATGGAATGTTCTTGTGGTTTATTTGATGGTTCATACTCATTTCTTGATGGATTGTGCCTCTCCCTTAGTTTAATTTTATGTTATTAGCTTAATTGTAGTGTAGTTGTAGTTTAGATGTTAAATGGGTGGACAATCCATGTTTGTTGTTTGATATTCCATACTTATGAAAGCAAGTAGCACATATCTCTAACCTCGTGATATGTTTGGATTGTGAGTTTAAAGAAAGGATTAATGGCTCAGTTTGATATATTTTGCTATCCACCATGTTGCTTAGACAATATATGCTTAATTTCTCATCCATACTTGTTGAAACAACCACACACATACTATGTTGCAATACATGTTTTCCCCCTCATTTATCATTCATTAAGGGTGTAGAAAAGCTGTGCTTAGTAATAGTGGTGATTTCTAAACCCCAAGATCTCTCTCTTATTTTCTCTCCATTACATTTAATTGTTTACTTTAGTTTAAATTGTATCTTAGTATAATTCAACCACAAACCAATCTTTTGATCACTCGACCTACTAATCCTAATCTTGATTCCACAACTTAATACGACCCACCAATCCTTGGGACGATCCCTACTCGCCCTAACTATATTTTTAGTGAAAGGTAGTAGTGGCAATTTCTAAATGTAAAACTTGGCCACATTCATCATAGCCCTACACCACTATCTTTTAGTGCACAAACTTTGGGTTTGGGATGGCATAACACCAAACGAGAAAACAACGAAGTCTTTCATGGAGCCTTTTCTAGTATGTATGAACAACCTTCTATAGGAAACAATGTGCACTTGATCAAGGAGTTGTTTAAAATGAAGATGGTCGAAAGTGGTTAGTTTAATGATCGAAAATCTAAATGCGTTCAACAAAATTGTTGACCAATTAGAGTCTGTTGATATTGACTTTAAAGATGAGGTCCGAACACTGCTAATTCAAGGGCAGTTGCCCGAGAGTTAGAGTGGCACAATTACAATGATTAGTAGCTCTGTAGGGAAGACCAAGTTGAAGTTTGATAAAGTTGTGAGCATGATTTTGACTGGAGAAATCAGAAGGCAAACAGTTGGAGTTTCCACCAGTGGTTCAGCTTTGAATGTTGAAAGTAGAGGTAAGGGTTCAAACAAGAAGAATGTCAACAATAATGGAAACAGAGGCAGATCTAAGTCAAGGAATGGAAGCGCACAATCTAGAAATCCCAAGAATTTCACAGATCTCAATGATGTTAAGTGTTAGAATTGTGGCAAGAAGGGTCATTGACATGGTGATTGCAAACTTCCAAAGAAGAAAACCGAAATAAAAATTGAAGCAAACGTTGTCTCAGGAGAATCAGATGATGTATTGATATACTCTTTGGAGAGCAAGGCGGAATCATGGGTTTTGGATTCCAGCACATCGTTTCGTGGTACCTCAAGTAAAGAGCTATTGAATATCTATGAACTGGGTAACATTGGCAATGTATATCTTGATAATGATCAGCCTTGCAGCGTCGTTTGCAAGGGTGGAGTGCAGATCAAGTTGAATGAATCAGTTTAGAAGTTGAAGGACGTCAGGAACATCCCTGACTTAAGGAAGAATCTGATTTTGGCGAAACAATTGTCAGAGAAAGGTTTTGTTACAACCTTTAATGGAGCCTCATGGAAGGTTTCCAAAGGCACTATGAACATTGCACGTACTAAGAAAATTGACACTCTCTACACAACTATCAGTGCTTGTGGGTCAATAGCAATTACAGAAAATTAAAAGAGAGGACCACACCCTTTGACATCATATTATCTTTTTTATTTTTTTATTTTATTACCAAATTATATCATTTTAAGAATAGCCAAGGTTATCCCTCATTCTTTTCTGATCCCCTCCTCTCCATCCTCGTTTTTAGAACATACACGGTAGCCAGGTTATCCCTCATTCTTTTCCAATCCCCTCCTTTTATTATTAATTTTTTTCTTTTCATTCCAATTTCCTGATCCAAACAAGGTGCAAATCAAAAGAGCACTGTTTGTGTTTGTTGCAAGGGAGTGGGTAAAAAGACAGTGGGTCACGTGAATTCTTTCTAATAAAAATCAGAGACTAATAAAAAAGAGTGCAGTGAAGTGGTGAATACCTGTTTTTTTTCTGACGCCATACCCATTCCTTGACAATCTCTGTCCAAGTACTTCATGAAAATGAACAAATCCAACCCTCCCTGTTTTCTTCTACTCTTCCATATGTTTGCTTTCATTCACTACTGTAATACGTTTTTATACTCAGTCTATCTATAAAATTAAATTCGTATATTTATTAAATTCAAATTGAGTAATTTAAGAATTTAATTTAGATTGGGAAATTAAATGAGTCATAGACGCCCGTTGTTAACTTTTTATTGACACTTAGACTGAAAATTTTATTAAAAGATTAATTTGATTTTTAAGTATTTAAAAAATTATTTCTATTCAGTGATTAATAAATAGAGAGTTCATTACTCATGTCACCAGAGCACTCTCTAGATAGCATTGCTCAAATTCAAATATAGATTGTATATTAGTAATTAAGGATCGTACTGATTATAAGGGTGAATTCAGAAATTGTCATGACTGATATTAATAATAAATATATATTTTTTGAATTGGGCTAAAATTTGGAATGGGCTCAAGCCCACCCAGCCCACCCTCCGGATGTGCCCTTGATTGGTGGATGAAATCAACTAAATTATTTGAAAGATTGATATGATATCTCTTTTTAGAAGAAAAGGTTCGGTGTTCGAATATATATGTTAGGAGCATATTGTCGATGTGCGTTCACTTAACTTTCACATCTGTTAGAAGCGTGTTATCAATGTGCTTTCGCTTAACTTTCACATCGGTTAGGAGCTTGTTGCCGATGTGTTTGTGTGTGTTTGCTTTAATTAACTTCCAGAGGGGACCAAAAAAAAAAAAAAAAAACTTTGCAAGCATTTGTGTATGGTACAAAGTTATAATTCCAAAACAATAAAAGGGATAGAAAGATTAGAAATGGCAAAAAAAAAATTGTCTTTTATCTCATGGCCCATTCTAGAGCTAAAACCAGTACTCTCACTGTATAGTAAATATAATTCAATTTGGATGATTGTTTTATTAAATCAAACTACCAAACATCTCTTTAAGTTTGAAAAAAAAAAAAAAAAAACAAAAACAAAACAAGTAAATGCAGAGAAACAAACTCGTCTATCCTCCACAAAAATCTTCAAAACCTCACTTTAAATTCAATATGATACTATGCTAATTTATACAATCTCACTGAAGTATGCGAAATCGCGAAACCGGTAATATCCCAAATTAGGCCATAATTAAGTCCAATTTAATTGTAATGTTGTTGCTCCAACCATGGCCAAAGTCCTGTTTGATCATCAATGCCACAGAACATGTTACAAAAGCTTTCTTCTTTGACTGTTTGATCAATTTTCTGGCACTGAAGGTCTGGTTTTGATGAGGTTTGAAAGAGTTGGGTCATAACAGTGGGCCTCATGGACAATGGGAATAGGGGTCTGCTGGTTGGATGGGTAGAGAGAGGACTGTCAATAGCTGGTGTCCTTGAGATGCCTAGCTTGATTTCTGAGCTGTTCTCACTTCTGTTACTGCTACAACCCTCAGTTTCTTTGTTGAGGTTGATTGCTTCAATTGGTTCTCTATTTTTCAGTGCCAATATCTGCATAAATTGAATTAAAAATAATAAATATATATAAATATATATATATATATATATATATATATATATATTATAGGCCTCAAATGGATCATAAAAATTCTCTATGGTCAATTGAGAATATGAAAATTTAATTGAAGAAGCAAACATTATGATGATACTTATGCTAGAGGTATATAAGGGGGCTAGCACAATTCACATTAGCCCTCATAGAATGTGGAAAGACTGTTTTCGTGATTTGAACCTGTAATATAGAGCTACTCACCGATGCACCAAGGTATATCTTGAGCTTAAACTATGAAGAAAAGGCCCAAAAATCAAAATCAAAAAATCAATAAAAACATAGGAAAATATGTTTTATCCATACCCACCACATGTTTAAGAGGTTTATTAACAAAAAAATAAAAAATTAAAGTCCTTGTTTGGTTCAACTTTCTAAGAATAATTTTCAATTCTCAAATAACCACAAAATGAAAACATTTGAAAATTCTCTTGTAGACAGTTTGTTGAAATTTTTATCTAAAAGCAGTTTAAAAAAAAAAAAAAAATTTCAATTCCAGAAAAAACTCTTTTCTATTTTCTAGAAACTGCAAGTTGTTTTCAAAGTTCTAAAAAAACTGAATCAAATTGGTTCAAAGCTCCCTTAAAATTTAAAATTCAAATTAAAAGTCAACACTAAGGAAGAAGCATGATGATTCTCCCAACTTATGAATCACAATCATCAACAGAAGAAGACCTTGTAAGAGGTTAACTAATAGTAAATATGTGTATACACACACATACACACATCTGCACAAGGTATAAGAAAAAATAGTATATGTAGGACTAGTTCATAAAGGTACATGCTGAACCAATAGAGAGAGCTAAATTTCCAATATATATATATACCTGTGCATGAAGATTTTGGTTCTGAGCTTGGAGGGCATCATTATCAGCTTTGATTGCATCAAACTGTCTCTTGAGGACTTGATAGTCTCTTTCCAATTGCTTGGTCTTCCACCTTGCCCTCCTGTTTTGGAACCAAATAGCAACCTGTCTTGGTTGCAGACCAAGAGCCCTAGCCAACTGCAATTTCCTCTCAGGCTCAAGCTTGTTACCCAACTCAAAGTTCTTTTCAAGTGTCTTCACTTGTTCCATGTTTAGCCTCCTGATCTTCTTCTCTCCAACCAATTGTGACCCATCATCAGACAAATCATCAATATCCCCATTATTAATATTAGTTTCTTCACAATTAACCTCAATTCCTGAAAATGACAAGGATCTCTTCCCTAGAAGTGAAGCAACACCTACACCAACATAAACATTTCAAATTCATTAAGAAAGAGAATATATAGTAGTATATATAACTATATATGTACACAATATATATATGTGGATATGTGTATGCATATATAGAAAGACAGATATAGAGAACCATGGAAGTTTTGAAATGAGCATGGTTGATGATTATCTTCAAGAGGGCTTTGTAGCATGAAATTGGAAGTGAAGAAGTCCATTCCAGAACCTATAGTTGTGCCACCAATCTAAAAAGCTGTGGCTAATCTTACTGTCAACTTCAGAGAGAGAGAGAGGTGTTTAACTTAGTATAAGAAAAGGAATAGAAAGACAATATCACAAAAATTTCTTTATTACATAATTGAAAGGAGATGCATTAGTTCCTGTGATGGATATATAACTTATATACCTTACAACTCAAAGGAAGAGTTTATTATACACACACATATAATTGTGTGTGTGAGTGGGGAAGGAGAGAGAGCTCTCTCTCTTTTAGTTTGTGTATGGAAGTGGGATTTTAATATCAATTTTAGTTTTTATTATTTAAAATAGCTACATGTTCTGTGGTTTCTTCTCAAAAGACAAATACTTCAATAATGCATATAGTTATAGCTATTTTCATAGTTTGCATTTATTTTTCCTTAAGCTGACAAAAGGGTTGTTTTTTCTACATGGACAGTTGTCACTGAATATAAATTTTAAGAAAGTAAGCAAACACTTGTGGGATGTATCTTATTTGATTCCTTTGCTAAAGGAGAGAGGGAGAGAGTTGATATTATATATGTGCTTGTTAATGAGAGAATTGGGTGACTTGAAGAGAAATATAAATGCCCATTATGATATATAAATTTTTTATTTTAGTACTTTTCGGATGGTTTTAAGAAATTTGAATTTCTAATATGTACTGGATAGTTTAGTACACATGATAAGAGTGGAAATCACCTTATTTTTACCACTAGTAATAATATTGACTCCATCTTATGTGAAGGTCTCTATTTAGTGTATAGGAGAGAATTCAATTTCGTTTTTGAAAAAAAGAAAAGAAAAAGGTAAACCTATTAATCAAATTAGAAAAAGTAGAGTTGGATGTGTCGTACCTTAGTTATGTAAAAGAAAGGTTGCTTAAGATAAAAGAGAAATGAGTTGGCTTGTATCTTTTGGCCCTAGAAGTTGTGTGTGTGTGTGAATGTGTGTGTGTGAGAGAGAGAACGAATCCAGGGATGGGTCCAATAAGGGGGGCAGGGGATGCCACCTAACCCACAAACAGGTATCGTGCACCAGGAAGAAGCCCTTTCCTATCAATTATCCCCTCAGAGAGAGAGAACGAGAGAGATTTGAAAAGCCCAAACACCCACTTCCTTAACCCTACCAAGCTGGTATTTTTGTCCTTGTGCCCCAATTAATGTCAATCTCCATCCCAAGGCTCCTCTCCTCCCTGTACTGCCACAACTCCTGAATGGCCTTAATTTAATTTGAAATGTCCTATCCTCCTCCCCCCTCTATCTCTTACCTCCTCCCTTGTATGTCACTCTTCCCTCTTTGTCCTTCGCTTTTAACAGTTAACCCACACTATAAGCAACATGTACATCCAAGGTTCACCCAAATTTTTCATCAAGAAATTAACTACTCATATTTTAATTCATATACTACATCCATCTCATATTAAAAGTCCACTTTCGACATGAGTCACAATTCTCGAAGTGGACTTTTAATATGAAACGGAGGGAGTAATAAATATTCTACCATCTCATGCGTAAGAAAGTATGCAATACAGCAGAGGTATTTATTATGTAGTATCCCCAACCCTCATTATTTGTCTCGAAATGTTTTTATTTCTCTATTATTAAAACAAAATGAGAGTTTTCATGGCTGTGCATTGACTACTTGTTGGTGGATTAGAGAGATTTATGGGATTTGTTTTATTTGTGGGTTGATATGATGATTGATGGTAATTTTTTTAGATCCCTGAATAAGAAGAAGAGTCCACATCTCTTTTTTTCAGTAAGTTCTAGTTGGTGAACCATGTAATATTCTTGCGTTATTCTTTCTTTTTCTTTAGTCTTTTCTATCGTATAGTATTCTACATACTGTCGGAGTTGGATCTTTTGATTTGATTTATTGTTGAGCAAGTTGTTGCGTCGTTTGTTATTTTCTACGCACCTCCACAAAAAAGTGCAATAACTTTCAAATCGTAACTGGAAATTACGAAATTCCGGCACACACTACTCTCTTTCACGCGTTACAAAAATCATCATTTACATAGATATTCTACCAAAACTTTTGATTCTACACCTCAAATTAAATGTTTGAATGTGACATCAGAAAAGAAGAAGTCATTGTATTGTATGTCAATATTTGGATGATGTGAATAAAACCATATAGACTACAATTTAGTGATGGTAATGTGAGACACCTTTCCGATGGTGTGAATCATAGTATGAAAACTATGCAATTCAGTGATTGTGATGTGAGGCAGCCTTAGAAAAAAGATTTACACCTTATGCTCTCAAAAAGTAATTACATTGAAGGGAGGTCATGGAGGAACATAGTATATAGTCGTCTAACATATCTTTCGATGAGGAAATATATAGTAATTGCATTGATTCTACAATGGGAATGCATCCTAATTCAAAGGGAAATGGGACCCACCAATTTTTTCTTTTTGCTAAGGACCCACCAATCTTTGTATTGGTGATGAAGGAAGTGTAGCTCCTACAATGTCCTGATTTTTATATTGGACCAAGACAAACTACTCTCAGGGAACCACATGACTTTATTAGTTGGTAGCTGGAAGTCTACCCCATTGCAATGGGGTGGATCCATGTTCTTAAACCCTATTGTGCTGCTACTGTTGTGTGTGTATATATATATATATATATATATAATTAATATAGAATAAAAGAGCTGAATCTTCTCCTCCACATGCCCTCAGAGCTCAAAATGGTCCCATGTGCAGCTCGCTCTCTCTCTCTCTCTCTCTCTCTCTCTCTCCATGATTATAATTGGTACAACACATGTTTATTATTTATGACGAAGTATTTTGACATGACACAAGGTATTTAGCGAAGCCACGTTTAGTTCAGTGGGCTAAACTCTTTTTGTTTCAGCTATATATTTTGATAATTATAATTTATAAAGATGCCTCATAGAGTTGTAATTTACCCTTGATCTACTCAATTCTGAATGAATGCAATTATTGTTTTATGATTATTTAATTTACTACTTATTAATTTATTCAAATTAAGTAGTAACCAACCTAGAGTGAAACCAATTTTTTTTTTTTTTTTTTTTTTTTTTTTTAACACACTATCTTTTAAAGAATTGTTTGTACCCAAGAGAATTCGAGGTCAAATGATTTACCCATTTCAACCAACCAACGTATCTTTATATGACACGGATTCGGATCCTCTCATGTAATGGAAATTACAAGACTTATAAGATGCCTTAAAATGTTAACGTTTGAAGACATAGTTGGCAGTCACTTGAAACTAATTAAGGCAGTATTTGCTCATTCTTTTAAATAACTTGTTTTGTTTTTAGAATATTAATCACAAGATGAAAACTAATTGAAAAAAATTAAAGGATTTTCAACAAACAATATGTGATTTATATATATTTTTTGATTCATGAGTGCATTTGTGTGGAGATATTAGTTCTTATTCAAATTAGATTTATACATATGGGTTTAAGTGTATAGTCTTACCAAGGTATATGTGTCTATAACTATGGTGGTTGGTGGAGAAGGAGATGGTGGTAGGAGGTTGCAAGGGGAAAAGTGATGGCCATCATTAAAGGGTGAGGTGTAAGAGGTGGAGATGGCCATGGTTAGAGCGCCGCGGGGGGGGGGGGGGGGGGGGGGGGGGGGAATAGAGTGATAGATATGGAAAGAGAAAGGAGAAAGGAGAAAGAAAATAAATATAATAATGGTAAGTTTATTATTTTTTGGAAGATTATAATAAATGTGAGTTAGTGTTCCTCAAAACGATATAGTTTTGAAGCACATGACAAAACCACATGACCTTCTCAACATGAGGGGATTAGGGATTGCAACAGGGTGGAGTTGGGGTGGGTTTGACTAAACCCTACTCCGTCCCGTTAGAAAATTCGTTATACCAACTCCACCCCAACTCTAGGACGGGTTTGTAATTGATATATCATCTCCGCTCCTACTTCGATAAACAAAGTTCCGACTATGCCCTATGTACTCTATTTAATTGCGGGACGGGGTGGGTTATGTCACTTTTGTTAGCCCAATGTGCTCAAATTGGGCTGATAAATAAGTTGACCAAGCTTTTAAATTACTAACCAGTAAATATTAATATATTAAGTAATACATCCAGCAAAGTTACATGATTCTTACAAATATTAAATATATATAAAAAAATTTAAAGGTACATATATAATTGGGGCGGGGTCGGGGCGGGTTCATCACTAAATCTGCCCCCGCCCCAAACCCACTTCGGGTTTTCAATTATATTACCATACGTGCCCCAAATCTATTTAAGAGGTTACCAAATCTGCCCCATTAGGGACAGGGTGGGCCGAAAACCGACGGATTGAAGGAAATTGCCATCCCTATAGAGGATCCAAGTCCGATATGACACATGTTTTAACTTGGAAAGATTAATATATTTAAGCGTTTAGAAAGAGTGAAAAAATTGGAGTCGTTTGGTAACATTTCCGTTTATGTGTTCCATATTTCTGTTGTCTAGTAACATTTCCATTTATGTGTTCCTTATTTCTTGTTTTTATTTCTAATAGTTCCTATTTATTTTGTAATTTTTTAAAAACATATTAGTGTTTGGTAACAATCATTTATTTCTTGAATTTTGTAAACAATAATTCATAAACATGTTTGGTAAATTTTATTTGGCTCGTAAAATAACAAGGACCAAACTGAGTTCTGGGATCCTAAGGTTTCTTGAATTTAAACAAGGCAGGAGGTAAATAAGGTGACTAATGAAGAATGAAAATGAGAAACTCATACTTCAAAACGTACCTCCAAAAAAAATACTTAACTCCCAATCTCTCTCTACCTGCCACTACTTATACTTATATGTATATTGGATTTTGAAAACTCCCATTGTGGAGGGCAAATTCCCTACTAATGAAGTCACGACAACTGTGAAAGAAGGAGCCCCAATCCCAGCACGACACATGTCAAAGTCAGGAAGTCCACCAACAAGTTGTTTTGACCCAAGGGAATGGGCCAAATGCACCAGAAAGCGACCAACCCAATTTATCCAACGTATTCGGCTAGTTTGCGATACTGCTTAAAAAAGCCTTGCGGGCCCAAAAAGAATCTGGCCCAAAGGACATGTATGGATAAGAAAAAGAAAAAAGAAAAGAAAAGAAAAAAAGACGTGAGAAAGAAATCATGCACCCTAAGAAAAGGGCCCAAAAGGGAACTCTAGTAGGGTTTCTTGTATATAATAAGAATAGCCCCTCAATAAAGGCAAGAACTTCTCCCTAAATCTCTCTCTCTTTGCAATCATCTTCTTATCATTTTCTTGATTACCATTTTTTAGTGTTGTTCACGATAACTCTATTTGGTTGTTTTCAGTCAACGAAATTTCTTGCACCTACACCCATAAATAAGCTAGATTACAAGGAGTAATAATTTGATAACGGGAATTGGAGTGAATCAGAGAGAAGGAAATAAGAGGCTAACAAAAGTTAGAGAGAGAGATAGTTAACGGGTTTGTACCAAAAGTCATGCC